AGTGATTTAGATTTGATTTCTGTCTTTAAAGCTCAATAAAGTGTCATTCATGCAGTTTTAACTGTTTGTTGTCTGAAGGTCAAAGATGAGAATGAAGATAAAGTAACGTATGAGACGATCAACATGTCCACTCCTGCTGCTGCGAGAGACCATGTGAGTCAAATAAACCATTAGACATTCAGTTCTGTTCTATACTGTGATTGACTGAAAGCTTCAGTGTTATTTGACATATTACAGTGACAGATATGTCTGTTCTGTGTGTTAAATGTTTAGGAGCAGACAGATGATGTGACTTACTCTGAAGTCTCTTCTTCCAGTAAAATGCCCGTAAAATCACTCAAAGTGAGTAGATAGCAGCTCATTCGCTTGTTCTTGCTGTTCAGTCCTATTCAGAGAAAACCACAGCAGCTTCTCTCATCTATACGCTGCTGAGATGTAGTTCAGAATCTGAATCTCAGATAAATGAAGCTCTAACAACATGTGGCTGCGGTTCAAACACTGATGGAGAAACTCTGTGCTGTTCTTTCAGGATCATGATGACACAGTGACTTACGCTGCCATCAGATGAACAGAATATGAAGCACAGGATGAACTTTACAAGAACAAGAGCTTCACAAATAGACATTGATTAAAACAGATCACTGCGTGAGCTCCTCATATCAGCAGCAGATGAGACGTTTTCCACGACTGCTGAGATTCATGGCTTTGCTGTTTGGAAGAATTAGATATTTGTATGTCAATGAACAGAACTTTTATGTCAGATAGTTGTTGAATTCAAAATCAAAGTGCTGTAAAAATGTTCCCAGATTGCTAAACTAAATGCAGTAGAAACTAATCTTGCTTTCAGCATGTGTATAGGCTGTTTTTTGAAGAGCGATATCAGGTCAGAGCCGGATTTACATCTTATTGTGACTTAGGCAAAAGCAACCCCCCCCCTTCCCTATTAATATATAATATTACCACCCCAAAACAGCAAAGAACACCATTATAGTTTTCTCTATCGCAATAAGCGACAAGTTGTTCAGCTTGCATTCAGTCGCTGAAGATCGAATGTAGTTCTTCACTCTCTTGAGAACGGAGGAAAATGTTTCATTGCTCTCGTTGCTATTTCAAAATGTCATTTTAGAAGAATAAAAGAGGCTTGAGCTATTGATATGCAGAATAATGCAGTTATTTGAGAGAGAGAGAGTCAATAAAAAAAATCCCTTAATTAATGTTATGCTTTTAAAAAATATGCTAAAACACAAGTATACTTTTTGTGATATTTTAGTGTATTTACAGAAAACATACTTATTGTAATCTTACTTAAAATATATTTTATATTTACTTTGTATAGGAACGTAGTAAAATTATACAGCTTTTAGTGGGTTTACGTATCTTATTTATATGTACACATACTGCAATATTTTTTTTTTATATTTATGTAATGAACATGTGCTTCAGCCTACTTTCAAAGGAAGATATTGCAAAACATTTTTTACATTTTAATATATTCTATAAAGTATGTTAATTCACTCACACATAAATACACTATATATATAGGTCTATAAAATAGGCAAATGCATTCTTACATTGTACCAACTTATAATGTATTATAAATATAATTTTGTCAACTATGCCTTAGTAATAAGCATGCTTAAAATCAGTATGTTGTTATATTTTGTAATATAATTCAAATACATTTCAATTTCACTTTTAAATACATTAATGTAATAGGCTATTAACTGTACTTTTCCACAAGCATTTCAACATCGTATCATTTATAGTGCATCATAAATCATTTTTCCAAAGATAGGCTTAATATCCCTATTTATTTACTTGTTTATGTACCTAAATTCAAACAAGATCAACCTACCATGTGATGCACGAGAACAAACCTCACTGGCTTTTGTGGAAGCTCAGGTGTGCTTGCTTAACACGGACTTGGAAGAAACCACTCGATTCATATGGATTCTTTTTATGATGTTTTTGTCTGCGGTGAACTATTTGAACAATTTGACCAATCAGAGGCAAGCTTTTCAAATCGGCTTTGCAGGAAATGGTCCAATCACACTGCTGAATGCTGTTGAAACGGTAATGTTTTCCACAGAAATCATCCCAGTTTCTCTTGATTTGATTTTCCTGACCAGAAAACCCGGCCAGCTCCCGTCTCCCGAAAACAACTTACTTAAATGGTGCTTAAAAGGTTCATCTGCTAAGTCGAAGCAGACACAGACAGATGAAGATACATGTAGTGTACATTGTACTGTCACTGTTAAAAAGAAAACAAGTCACTAATCATTTGCCTTCTGTTTTTTTTGTTTGTTTTTTGCAATAGAAGACAAATTGAAATCAGATCAGAGAGACGAGCGAAGAAGAGAGTGGGGAGTATGTTTTGATCTCATGTTATCAATGAATCTCAAAGGTTTAATTCTGGCTGACATATTTCCTAATAAGGTGTCATGCTGACTGGATTCAGCACTTGTGTTGTAGAGATGTTGTGTCTCTTCTAAGCTCATGTTCAGTGTAACACAGAGTGCTGTATGAGGATAAAACAGACGCTCATGTCAAGCTTGATGAGGATTTAGTCCAAGCTTTCAAAGGTAAACTGAGAACGGTCAAAGACATTCTAAAAATCTGTCTGTAAAAAAATGCACTTGAGTCGCTTCTGCGCTTTATTGTTGTTCAGTAACTTCTTTATGTGTGTGTGCAGAAAACTGCATTCATTTCTATTCAATATTCACAGTGTACTTTCCAGTAATGCAGGTATAGCAGAAATGCTCTACAAATTGATTGAAGTAGTTCTGTTATAGCATCCCACTGATTTATTATAATTTATTACAATTATTTTGGTCAAGAGTTTATATATGCTGCTGTACTAAATGTACTCATGGAATGTATTGTTGTAATGTACACAAGATATAGTACTTTAAAGTTTTCTACATGTGAAAGTGTGTGTACATGTGTGTCGTGTTAATTTAATGATTTTTGTACTTTTTAATATTCCATTTTAGAATGCTGAAAAATAGCTTTATAACAAACTAATAATGTACTAGTAATGCCTTTCTAATGAGCTGAAATGCTACTGAAAGTGTCCTTGAAGAATATTAAAGTGAGGCTTAAAATATATTCTAACTGTACTTCAAGAAGCATAAAAAATTATTTTAAACAATGTAAAGAAGTACAATTAAATTGCACTAAAGATACTTGAAGTATTTTAAAATGTACTGAAATCAGCTTAAAGTTCATCGTAAGCATATCTTAAAGAACTCTTAACATACTTAAAGTTGTTCCAAAATAGCACATTTACTATGCACTTAGTATAGTATAATAAAAATATTTTAAGTGCATCAATATTAGTACAACTTGAGTGTATTTCTTTTTTTTACCTGGGAGTGCTTTCAGGAGATACAGGACTGATGGTGTGATGGAGAACCACTTGCTGATAACTAACAGCTTAACTGCTGATTTCTTTGATTATCTTCAGATAAATGATCTGGATGCTGTTTTGTGGATGGTAAAGCTTCAGTATCACCTTACATTTCTGCCGCTGTAAAACGTGATTAAAGTGACGTGACATGTGGCCAAGTATGGTGACCCATACTAGGAATTAGTGCTCTGCATTTAACCCATCCTAAGTGCACACACACAGCAGTGAACACACACACCGTGAACACACACCCGGAGCAGTGGGCAGCCATTTATGCTGCGGCGCCCGGGGAGCAGTTGGGGGTTCGGTGCCTTGCTCAAGGGCACCTCAGTCGTGGTATTGAAGGTGGAAGAGAGCGCTGTACATTCACTCCCCCCACCTACAATCCCTGCCGGTACGAGACTCAAACCCACAACCTTTGGGTTACGAGTCCGACTCTCTAACCATTAGGCCACGACTTCCCCACATTATGCTCCGTATATTATTTTGTGTTTATTTCTGCAGGTTGGTTATGCTATTCCAGCTGGACTGTGCTTTTTGATTCGCTGTCAGCCACAAATAACAGGTAAGAAAGTCAAGCTGTTGTTCATGAATCAAAGTGAGACGCGATGCTGCCATCTAGAGAAATACCTCTCACCTGTCAGGATACACAGCTGTCATAGAAAATAAAATAAAAAATATTAACTGCATTTAAAATCAGTTTTGTGTAACAATGTCTTTCCTTCCGGCAGTCTGATCAATTACGGAGTCAAGCAAGAGATGTTAAAAACATTTATCATATACATTTATTTACCTCACAAGAAACGAAGCACAGTGTTATACAATAAAATATAATAATATAGAGTCATTAACAGTAGGTGAAGCAGTAAGGTAATATGCTTTTCCACACATAGCCATCATTCTTTCTGTATGATGACGTTAAGCATAAAGACAATATATTCATTATTTTATTTTTATTTCTTTTGACCTGTTCGTCACATAAAACTCATCATATGACCTCTGACTGCATCATTCACAGACAAAATCCTACATGTTTAGACCATCATTAGAGATTATGGTAGAGTTTCGAGTTATAAATGAATCAGTTGAACTGAACTTGACTGATAATATGAGACAATCAGCAGCCACTGACCTTGAGAAATATTTAATAGTTCAAAACATTGTGGAAACACAAACTCTCTGAACTCCAGCGCTGCAAACATGATGATAATCGCCTGAATTAAACTGAATGTAAATAACAGTATATGTGTATCATAATGCTTTATTAATGTAGCTAATGTGTAATGCAGGATCTGCTGTCTGGAGGTTTAACTATTCAATCTCAGTGTTTCTGATTTATTTACTCTGTTGAACTTTTCTTACAGTGTGCAAGTGTTAGGATGCAGGAAAACACAGCCTGCATATATTTACAGCTATTTACAAAACCATTCACATTAACAATGATTATTAACAATCGCACTGAGTTCAATGTCAAGCACAAGTTTTTGAAGCACAAACAGTGTGTCAGTATTGCGTTTGTTTGGTATGTTTTACAGTCTGTTGTTTCTAAGCAGTTTTGCGACTGTACTTTAATATCTTGTGTGTGGTGAATGTGAGACAGTTTTCTCTGGTTGTGGATCATGTTTGTGATTCTGCTGAATCCGGCTGATGCTCCTCCTGCTCTCCAGTCTTCAGAGATCTCATCTCTTGTGCGTCTCCTGTGCTCTGGTTCTTCTGTGATCTTTTATCAGCGCACGTTTCTGCTGTTTTCTGCTTTCGCTGTGATCTTTTCGCTCGTTGAGATCTCACTTCGCTCTGTGTTTAGGACCAGACATGTCATTTAAACATAATCCATGCAACATCCTCACACTTTTTGAGAATTATGTAGCATGAAGTAAAAAGTCTCCTGATGTTGCGGGGTCAGTTTTAATCTCAAATCAATGCAGCTTTATAAATGATACTAACCTGACAAGACTTCAGACAGCTTGCGATCTCTGTGAGGTCAGAAAATAGGGGGAAAAGATATTAGTTGATCTGTTTTAATCTGATCATTATCAGTTCAAATTAAATCAAAGAACTACTCATTCACTTAGACCTTCAACATGACTTTTAATAAGTGCAGCCGCTTGAATCTAAATGATTTTAATGGTGACTCTGATTGTTTCAAGTACAACACTGTAAAAAACATTAAACCCACTTCAACTTGAAAACTTTAAATGTAATTGCCTAGAGACCTGACAGGGAATGATCTTGACATTTATCTAATGATGTAACAGTAATAAATATAATAGTAACACACTATGTACATTTGCTATACTATGTAGTGTTACGATTGCATGTTTTACATTTGTCATTGTTCATGTGTGTTAAATGCTGTCTTTGTTAGTGGATATGCTCTATATGTTAGGCCACGTCTCACAGGCCATGTGCTAATCTGAGCTGGGTTAGTGTTTGTGAGGTAGTGATGTTATCAAGTGCTGATCTCTATTAACTGTGAGCTGCTCTAGGATTTCAGTCTGAAGGGGCTCTATAGGGGGGTTTACAGTAAGTGTTGTGACAACATAATATTAGATTAATAGAGACTGAGATAAATAGTCCAGCTACACCTATAGCTAATGTGTTCTGAGTCTTTCAGTCATTAAACACACTCTCACTGTCAACCAGCTTTACAGCAAATTAACACACAGAGACACACATCACAATCTGTGTGTTAAATATGTGAGCAAATCCGACTTTAGGAACTTTAACCACAGCAGTAAACTACTAGACTGATTATTTATTTAATTAATTGTGTTTGTTCTGAAGAAAGACAAATGATTGTGACGTGAAAACATATGAAGACCAGCTCATATGATGTAGAGTTTGCATACACCTTACAGAATCTGCAAAATGTTAATTATTGCACCAAAATAAGAGGGATCATACCAAATGCATGCTATTTTTTATTTAGTACTGACCTGAATAAGATATTTCACATAAAAGACGTTTACATATAGGTCACAAGAAAAAATAATAGTTGAATTTATAAAAATGACCCCGTTCAAAAGTTCTTAATACTGTGTTGTTAGCTGAAGGATGCACAGCTGTGTTTTGTTTAGTGATACTGAATGATCCACAGCTGTGTTTTTTGTTTAGTGATAGTTGTTCATGAGTCTCTTGTTTGTCCTGAACAGTTAAACTGTCTGCTGTTCTTCAGAAAAATCCCCCAGCTCCCACTAATTCTTTGCTTTTCCAGCATCTTTTGTGCATTTGAACCCTTTCCAACAATGACTGTATGATTTTGATATCATTTTAAATTTAAGATCAGACAGTTTAACTGTTCAGGACAAACAAGGGACTCATGAACAACTATCACTAAACAAAACACAGCTGTGCATCCTTCAGCTAACAACACAATATTAAGAATCAAAATGAAAAAATTAAAACTTTTGAACGGGGTCATTTTTATAAAGTCAACTATTATTTTCTCTTGTGGATATGTAAACATATTTTATGTGAAATATCTTATTCAGGTCAGTACTAAATAAACAATAAGGTAACACTTTCTATGAAGCCTGTATTTATAACACATTATAAGGGGATTCTTAAAGTATTATAATGAATGCATAATGTATTATATACATATATTAAAAAAAACATAATGTTGTATCATCTCATAAATAATCATAATAACAATTATAATACATTATAAAACGTACTTATTTGTGATTATAACTTTTTTCATAAATGTATGATTATTTATAACATGCAATAAACACCATGTTAAATCCAGTTAATTTGTAATGGATTATAAGTCTCATATCTTGACAGTATTTATTTAAGATCTGTACAGTATCTTACTGATATTACAATAAATATTATTAAAATCAAATGTGCCATATTACACACTCATCTGATCAGATATCTGATCTTATCTACCTGCTCTCATGGCATCAACGTACCTGGGTGCACTTTTTAGCGAGACACGAAATACATACCAATAAGTACATATCACTGCAGTTTCCAAAAGAAATGAACACTAGAGGCAGTAAAACTCTTAACACCTTTTATTCCTTTTCACGCAAATTTACAGAGTTTCGATTCATAAAGCATAATTTTCGCACAATTACTTGAAGAATATCATGTTATGACTTCTAAACAATATTAATATGCTGGGAGATTTGAAAACCGATGCTTTTGAACGTTAGCATCACACATATCCAGCTTCATATCTACGGGTTTTCACAGACGCCGCAATACATACCTGAAGCAACATAATAAAAACACAGCAATACATACCTATATCAACATCATAAAAACGTGCCAGGGTTCATTTCTCTTTGAAACTGCGGCGAAACGTGCAGTAAGGTACGTAAAAACAGTGTTGCACAAAAAGTGCACAGAGGTACGTATTTTTATGAGACCAGGTTGGATCTTATGGCTGTTTAAGAAAAAAAACATTATTTTTACTTTTATTATTATTATTATTGTTGTTGTTCTTATTTATAAGTGGTCTTTGTCTGCTTTAAGTAAAGTAACAAGTTATCAATGGCAAGATATGAGACTTATAATACCTTATTAACTATGGGAAATATAATCCATTGTAAGTTAAGTGGATGCATTGTGTTCATTGTGTATTATAAATCATCATACTCTTAAAGGCTATAACCACAAATAAGTAAATATTATAACGCATTAAAACTGTTGTTATGATTACTCCCGAGATACATATTATAAGATTGTTTTTTTAATGCATTCATTATAATGACTTAAGAATACTCTTATACTGTATTATAAATACGGGTTTCATAGAAAGTGTTACCAAAAACAACATGCATTTTGTATGATCCCTCATATTTTGGTAAAATTATTATCATTTTGCAGATTCTGCAGGGTGTATGTAAACTTTTGAGCTCAGCTGTACATGTGATCTAATGTAACAGAAACAGTTCAGGTTTATACTCACTGGATTCAAAGATTGCTGAAATCAGCACCAATATGACAAAGAAGCATTCAGAAGGAAAGACGACGAATCTCAGATCTGCCATCATACGATCACCATTCACTGAAAAATAATAATGTTATCACCGCTGTCTTGAGAAATTAATTCAATTGCTCCAGATAAATGCAGGTGAATTCAGCTCATAAATCTTCAACACTAAAAAGGTGATTTTTTCCCTCAGATGTGTGTATGATAAAGTGTATGATGTTCACTCACCTGTTTTCAGGATCAGTTCAGTTATCAGAGTAACAGAGTTCAGTAACACAACACCGACTGATCCAAACACATACACAGCAACATAACGCTGGAAATCTGTGAATCAAGGTTAAACATTTACATGAACTTTAGGAACATAAACATGTTAATGCACTCACTAAAACAATGTTTTAGTTAAATTAATATTTAATTACAGTATCATTAAAAATGAGGCCACATTGAAAAGCACTAAAGAGGTGCACCCCATTATTCTGCAACATATATAAAGTTATGTTTGAGTCTTTGTTTGCTCTATTTAATTATTTCATTTCTTATTAACTGTTAATTTAATCTGTATGGTGTATGATATGATTGATTTCAGTCCTTCATTCTTCTACAGCTCATCTGACACATATTATCTTAAAGTATTGTGTTTATTATTCATATTTGACTTTGTTACGGTGGAAAACTACAGTGTGTTCAACTGATAATTACTGGACTAATGAGATTAATCTGCTATATCACAGGTGCTACATTGTTTAAAATCATGAACCAATTTCATACAGAAGAGATGATCAAAATAGATGATCAATACTGTACCCAAATTAATAGATGTAAATATATATATATTGAAATAATCTGTAAACTTCATGAATGTCCAGAGTATCTGCAGAAACACAATCACACAGCCCCATCCGATGGGATCTGTAAATTGAAAAGAGTGAAATACAGCATCACTTCATCACATTTTTACACAAGTGCATTATTTATGAAGTTTTTGTCAAAATCCTTCAACACTTGTTCGATCAACACTGCTCAGTGTACATATCGTCCCAAGCTACAGCGTTAAAGTAACACAGTGTTGTAGTTAATTAGATATGTAACAGTGATTAATTAAAGGATGATTGACTATTAGTGATGAGCAGCTGCTGTAACAAGCAGAATAACTGAAGGAAGAGAGAAAAGGAGAAGAGAGAGACTTGTGTTGTGCAGGACAGTGAGAGGAAAGAGAGGCTGAAGGGAGCAGGACACAGCTCTTAAACCACTTTATATCTCCTGATCATGTGATCAACCCTCTGTGCCACGACTGATGAACATGAAAACACTAATATCTGCTGTAACTCAAACATTATTAAAATATTACTGTACCTGTTTTATCTTCCAGTGTGAACATGTAAAGGCCGATCATCAGTGCATTAGTCACTATCGTGAAGATTAACGTCACTGTGCTGATGACTGAATATGAACCTGAAAAAGACGAGAGTGTGAGAATGATTTCATGAATAACACTTTATACTGAGAGAAACAGAGCAGATCAGGGGTTAAAACTGACTGAATAAAGAGAGACAGAGAAACATCTGAACACAGATCATCATGATTCAAATCACTGAAGAATCACATCATTCATTTCTCCTGGACATTAAACTCAAACCATCACAGACAGAGAGAGTCAGAAATAATGATGACTTATTAATAGATGAATAAATGATGATTGATTGGTCCATCTGATCGTCAGTGATGGTAAAATTACTCAAAAACAGTTAATACACTACAGATTAATACTTACTGCTGAATACTTTAATTAAAACCCAACAGTTCTTTCAGTTCTTTAAAACTGATTGATCACATCACAAAATTACAACAACAACAAAATGACACACTTTATAAATCCAAAAGCTCTTCTGAAACTGCAGCTGTTCTGATGTGTGCTTGTACTTATGGTTCATTATGTTCCCCTGCTTGTGTGTGTTGTGATTTTACTTCAAATGTATATATGCCAGTATGTTTGTGTGTGTCACAAGTGTACGTGTGCATGTTTACCTGTGTGTTTGTTAAATGTATTTAATATATTACACAGACTAGGGCCAGATTTACTAAACAGGGCACATTAGCATGAGAGTGAAATCCCATAGAAGCGCAGCTGGGAGCTGAAAGTTGTGCGGTTGATCTACTGACAATGAGCAAATTAAAGCAGACAGACACAACCAGACCATTTCAATTAATGCGCAACACTATCTATGCAGACAGGCACAAATTAAAAGTAACAAAAATAAAATATAATAATTGTAATCAAAAATAGAATAATAATAATTGTGGCTTGGCAAACAACCTGATATCCCTTCCCTCTGTTCTCTGTGGTTCCCTTTCATGGGAACTTCGAACTGCGTCCTCTAGGGGTCACGACGAGGCGTTCCCCATAGCGACCCCTAGAGGACGCAGTGTCTCGTTCCCTACTCAGGGAACCATGGTTACATAAGTAACCTGAGACGTTTCTCCTGCTATAGCAGCAACTATCGCAGCATGTCAAGCTCAAAATGGGATAAGACATGCTCTTTTGGGCATTAATAACACAAATACCAGTAAACTTAATACCGCAAACCTTAGTAAATCATGATGTATGATTCATTTAAATACTCTTTATCTCAAAGGGAAATCATACAAATGTAATAAGGTCTTGCGCAAAAATAACTTTGTCCTCGTCTTTACATCGCTAATGTTTCACTGTGTGTCTCTGATAAATCCTGTTTTTTATGCCAAAAGGTTGGATTCACACTGCGCCAAGCATTAGAACTGTTTCTTATTTTCAGAACTGAGTGCAGATAATCTCCCTGAAGCTAGAGCGTGGTTATCATATCTGGAGAAACAGTGTGGGATAATACACTCCTTCACCTCACCCGTATTGTACTTTCTGTGGATCAGTTTATCTTGACGCTCTGAAACATGTGCTTCTGGACTGTCCAGAGGTGCAGAAGTTCTGGAACATTGTGTTGGATATTTTGTACAAGGTTACTAGGATTAATTTCCCCAAAGATCCTGTTATTTTACTGTTGAATGATAATTCTCAATTTTCTGTAAGTGAGAAGGAACATAATTTTTGCTATTACTGCAGCAAAGAAACTATTAGTTAAACGATGGAAACCCCCTCATGATCTTTCTGCTAAGCTCTGGCTACATTTATTATTGGAAATATCATCTGCACAGACTAATCACGCTAAACCTGTAACCTTGTCCATGTGACCATTACATCTACTGCTATTATTTGTGTTGTTATTATTACTACCAATCCTGCCTATCTGTGTACTTGTCCTGAGGTGTGTTATCATATTACATATTATTTACATATTTTTACATATTATTGCTCTTTTGTTGGTTTTGATTGCTTCTATTGGGGGTTTTTTTTTTTTTTTTTTTTTAGGGGTTAATAGTTGTCAAATATGCTTTCTTTCCTTTATTACAATATCTTTTTGTATACTTTACCAAAATTATAATAAAACACTGAATTACAAAAAATAATCTAGTGTTTTGCACACATTTCTCTGAGGGCTGGTTTAGGGCAGAGGCCGGCAAGTTCTGTCCCAGAGAGCCACAGTCCTGCAGAGTTCAGCTCAAAGCCTGATCAAACACACCTGAACCAGCTCATCAATGTCTTCAGGATCACTAAAACTGCATCTGAAAACCTCGGCTGCTGACTTATTCAGCAAGGACTTCTAATTGCAGCTTTTGCACATGAAGGCACCTCACTAAACTGATTTCAGACAGGCTTCTGAGGCAGCGTAACGGCTTAATGATCTACAACACAAGAGAATGAGTTTTGGGGATAACTAAATGAATATTTAATTTCTATAATACTGTTTATTTGCTAGAAATAACATCAAAAGTGCAAAACGTTAGTCAGAAATATACATTTACACACAAACTGACCACCAAACGCAACTTTCAGACGCCATCTTTAATTTTTTAGTTCAACGGTCACGGAATGGAACGCACAGGATTGTGGGATATCAAAGGCAGCGAGGGATACATCTATGCTGCCTTCAAAACTCGATCAGATGAAGGTATCTCAGGAGACCGGAAGTGAAGCTAACTTTGGATTCGGACGTGCCTTGATGCCTTCCTGCCTTAAAATGTGTCCTCCGAAGACAGCAGTCTCCAGATTTCAGATGCAGCCTAAGGCTAGACTCTGCAGGACAGCGGCTCTCTGGGACCAAACTCATACCCCTGGTTTAGGGACAGAGGTCAGGTACCTCATTTATAAAAGTGCACATGCACAGATTTGATGCTTGAGGTGCTAAAATCCCAGCCAATGTTCAGATTTATAAAAACATTCTGACCTGGAAAAGTGCTGCATTATAAGCAATTCTTGTCGATTGCAATTCTCAAGTAAAGGATTTGGATGTTGACTGGTGCTCTATTATGTGTTAATGACATAAAAAAAAAAAGTGACGAAAGTGACGTGACATGTGGCCAAGTATGGTGACCCATACTAGGAATTAGTGCTCTGCATTTAACCCATCCTAAGTGCACACACACAGCAGTGAACACACACACACCGTGAACACACACCCGGAGCAGTTAATTAGAGAGTGTTTATAAAGCGGAGGTCTAAAACCATTCAGCAGTGCACAATTTCAAGATAATTTGTGATTTATAGATTTCACATCTGGAAGAGAGGCGTATGCAAGTTTTGTTGTGTGTACATTCATTTCTCTGAATCACACGTATGCACATTTGATAAATCATCTCAACAGATTAAATGAAGGACGGTTCCTATGCAACATTTTATAAACGAGGCCCCAGAAACACAACAACTACAAAATACAGTCAGCCTTTATGAAATCGACTGCAAATAAAAGAAGACATTAAATCTCTCAAGATCTCAACAAAGGAACTTCACAAACAGGACCAGCTTCACTTTTTACAAACCAGTTTGACTTCATTTCTTTCATACGTGTAACAAAAGTTCTTATTGGGAGTTATCAGAGGTTTTATTGAAGATTATGTTTGTCATCATTACGCTGCTTTAGCCGGGCAGTTTAACAGTGATATAAATGTATCAGATCTCATCACTGAGTAAA